TCGACTCCCAGAGCCCCAGTGTCCCACTTTGCGGTGGTCAGTACTGCAGATCCCCAGGGAAACAGGATCTTCCTCGTTCCTGTAATTACAGCCACACATCCACAGCACAGGGCTGCAGGAGAGGAGGGGATGAGATTGCTGGCTCAGGTTGCACAGGTGGGGCACACACAGCCCATAAACACCTGGCAGTCCAACCCCAGAGACACACCCAGAACTCAGCACCACCAGCTGAATCCAGACCAGGTGTGCCTTTTCATGGAATCCAGACCAGGTGGACTCTTTATAGGACTCCAGCCTAGGTGGACTCCTTATGGGAATCCAGCCCAGGTGTGCCTTGTTATGGGAATCCAGCTCAGGTGGGACACAGGATGCTGGTGATGAGGAGGGGCTCCCTGAGCTGAGAACCTCTGACGTGGGAGAGGCAACAAACCCCCCTCCAGTCTCCCAGGTTGTTCACCAAGAGAAGCCCTCGGCTCACCGCTCTGCCTTCCCTGCTCAGTCCATCAGTCTCCAGGTCAACCACCCAGTCCCTTTCACCGGCACAAAATCCATCAGAAACAATTTGATTTCCTTTATTTACACATGGCATTTGGGAGAAAACCTAATCATATTGCAACCTGAAAACAAAAAAAAGTTATTCCAATTTTACATCCTTGTGCCTGAGACAGCTCAAGATCTGCAGCCAGACAAAATGTCCTGTACTGGGCACACCCTCATTTACAAGCATGGTGCAGAGGCAGTGAGGTGCAGGGGGATTTCCAGCCTGTGGTTTCAAACGTAAATGCAACAGTAAGATCTGGAAGTCTCGTGCTTTTGCTACCTCCTGTTTTTGGCAAAGTCTACCAGAAGCAAAAAAATAAAAGTCAGTGCTGGGGGGCTTGGTGGTGTGTTAACCCCAGCTGCAATCCTTGCCTGATGCACACTGGCTCTGCAAACACCAATTTTCAGCCTCACTGAGAGCCCTGGCACTCTGTGGGGGGCTGGTGTGGCTGGGATCCCTCTGTGGATCAGCATCCTGCCTGGTGTCCTGCATGGATTCAAATCCACACCTGGCTGGTGTGAACACTCCAGCAGACGCAGTCTTACCTTTCCAATAGAGTTACTTGTAGGTGAGTAAAGGTTACAGGAAGGAAGAAAGGTTGAGATTATTTAATAGCCTTTTAAAACACGTTTCTCTCTTAATTGCATGTTCACAGAGTCAAAGTCCTTTGGGCTCTTTGCCTTACCAGAGGCCAGTGGAGGCTGTGCCTGCGGGCAGTTTAGCAATCTCATGCTTCTGGTTCTTGTGCAAGGCTGTGTTGTGAGCAGGGAGCTGCAGCGCTCACATTGAAGCCACGCTGAGTCACCAGCTGGTTCCTCCCCAGTGTTTACTCTGCTGTCACCAGAGCGCTGACGTGTGATTACCGAGGAGCCCAGCGAGCACAGCGAGTGTGGCCATGGAGCAGCAGGAGCCAGCGTGGAGGCTGAGGGTCAGGCTGAAGCTCTGCCCCTGTGACTGTGGGCTCACTGTGAGCTCCCACACAAGGAGCAGCAGGAAAATTTCACCTCCCATGTGCCCTTTTAGGTGACAGGGAAATGAGATTCACTCACATCCTTTGCACAAACTGCTCTTAGCACCATCCTTGCCAAGCAGACTGTGGTGTTCCCAACCAGGGGAAACCTCTTCTCTGTCTTTGCCAGGGCAACACTTCCAGGAAAACTGATGCCAGCCAGTGATGTCAGCCCTTGGGGCAGCCTTGCTTACGGATGCAAACAAGGTCCAGGTTCCCAGCCTGCAGCCCTGCCCGTGTGAGAGTGTTACACAGGGTAAACACGTCAGTGCTGTGATGCTGGACTGTCCTGTGTACCCTGAGCTACGCAGAGGTGACACACAGTGACACCAGACCCTGACACATCTCCCAAAGCCAGCTGTTAATTCAGGTAGGTGAAGAGGGAAGAGGACAGATCAATGGATGCATGGATGGACGGACAGACTGACAGAAGTCTGGAAGGAGTTATAGCAGATGTGTGGATCACCTCACTGTCCCCAAGCCCCTGACAATGGGGGTTGCTGCGCAGCACGAGGTGCCAAGGAGTTTGCACAGCCCATAGCTTCATGCTGTCAGCCCTTCCTGTGAGGGCTCCCAGCCTCACACATGCGTGCCACGAAAAGGCCACCAACAAGGATATTTGGCTGGTTGCTGCCTCCTCCCCCCCACTTCAGTGTCACCAAACCCAGCTGCTGCTTTCAACACACAGCCCTTGGCAGGAGGCAAAGGGAAGCAGGCCGATGGGTAGAGCTGCCAGAGGCGCTGTGGGAAGCCAAGGGCAGAGCCAGGGCGAGGCAGCACGAGTGAGATCCTGCACAAATCCAGCCTTCCTTCAGCACAGCCGGCATCTCCAGAGGGTCCTGCTGAGCACCCACCCAGCCTCGAGCCTCCTGCTGCTCTACAACCTGCTCAGTCAGGAGATGGACACATCCGTCCTTCCTTCCTACCCCTCCGAGTGCTTTCCCTCTCTTCCCTTCTCCATATGTGGGAGATGTTCTCCCTGGTTCTGTTTCTTTACCAGTCAGAAGCTAGTCATCCACAGGGAGGTCACATGCTGTTGCCAGGGAAGCAATAAATTTAGGCAAATAAAAGATAAAGAACACAGCCAGATTATTGTAAGACAAGGGTAATGCTTTGAGCTTCATGGCTCTTCATGGAGCCAGGCACAGAAATCCCACCACCAGTGATGCTATGTAGACCCTTCTGCTTGGCACTGGATGTGTTCTTGCTCCTGCCAAGGATTGTGGGCCCTGCTCAGCTACACTACCTGCAGGGTACCCTTTTACCATGTTTAAATAATCCTGTCAGTAGTTTAAATATGCAAAACACACAGCACAATCTACCAAATCGGGGTTTTTTGAGCATTTGGAACTGCTTCATCCTGGCTGCTGCAGCTTGGGAGGACAGGGATGGGGTCACCTTTGTCTCTACCCCAAAATGGCCATGTTTCAGGGTGATGGGGTGATGCTTGTGTTGCACAGCGGGCAGAGGCTCTCGGGCCTCCTCCATCAGGCAGTTTGTTATGAAAATGTTAACGCACAGGCTGTCGTCATCTGGCAGCACCACCGCCTGCCTTATGAAATAACTCAGCATGACAGCTCTGCTTGCTCGCAGGCAGGCCCATGTCTGGCTTCTAATCTGGCATCAGAAAGCGCTCCCCTTCCTTGAGCTGCAGACTAATACTAAATGTTTCATTTGCATTACTCCAGATAACGCGCTGGAGAGCGTGGGGAGAAGGGGATGGCAGCCAAGCTCCTCCAGGAGCCCACACGTGGAGCGTTGCACCAGCCCCGCCACGCCGGATCTGCTCACTGCGCTTGCCGCCGGCACCGCGGCCCTGCCGGGATTTACATTTCAGATTCCCAACGTCAGCCAGCGTTCACGAGCTCCGTGGACCGGCCCGTGCAACGCCCCAGTGACAGATCACCAGGGACTTTCTTCCCGTGTCATCAGAAGGGAAAAGTCACGAGGATAGCACAGAATCGCTCCGGGCCCAGCGTGTGCTCAGCTGCAAAGGTCTCGGTGACTTCTCAGGCATATGTTGGCTGGCACAGCACTGGAGCAAGGCTCCCTGAGCAGCCCACACGACACAGGCAGAGGGGATTAATCTCATGCTGTGTGGAGATGCTAATACAATAAGGGTTCTTTGTGGCATTAGCTGGAATCATGAGACCAGCTCTGAGATGTCATTGCCTGGCAGCCATAGGGAGTGCCAGCCAGGAGCTCTCTGTAGAGAAGGAGCCTGTCTCCTGCTCCCAACCCTAAAGCTGCTGTGGGATAGGGAAAGTGCAGTGAGCTCTCTTTTTTCTGGTGACAGCTCTTTTGGGAACAGCACGCAATTTCTGTTGGTGAATCCAAGGACAGCTGAGGGAACAATGGTTATTTTAACAGGGCTAACACTTTTCCGTGATTTTTCCAAGAGCTGTAAAGCTGTGGATGCCAAGGGGATGCTCAGAACCACAGGGTCACATCTTACCCCACTGAAGTCTCGGCAGAGATTTGCAGGACTTGCGTTTTGCTATAAAAAGTGTTGCAAAACCAGCCGAGCTCAATGAATGGTTTGTGTTGGTTCCAGCAGACACTTTCATCTCCCACATCAGCTTTGTACCCACAGAGCTTCGGGGCCTGATCCAATCCTAACCCCAGTGCCAGCAAGGAAAGCTCCATCCCGCTCAGCACGTTTGTGCCGCTGGAAAACCAGCATCAAGCACCAGCAGAAAAGGTGGGTGAGAGTCCATGAGGGTCCCCAAAACCCACATGGTGCCCTGAGGGACATAAACTCTTTCAGAGCATGGAGGACGCCAAAGCCTTTCCATGGCGCCACACAGGCAGTGAAAATCCCCCACAGGGCTCCATGAGGGTCCCAAAGGCCCACAGGGCTCCATGAGGGTTTCATGAGGGGACCAAATCCCCCACAGGGTTTCATGAGGTGACAAAACACCCCCAGGGCTCCATGGTGGTCCCAAAACTCCACATGATTCCATGAGGGTCCCAAACTGCTACGAGCAAACCTCCACAGGGCTCCATGGGGAGACCAAACCCCCCACAGAGCTTCACGAGGAGACAAAACACCCCCAGAGCTCTGTGAGGGGACCAAACCCCCCACAGGGCTTCACGAGGAGACAAAACTCCCCCAGAAATCCATGGGGGGAATCTCAAAACTCCTCATGCTTCCATGAGAGTCCCAAACTTCCTCCATGCGGGGACCAAACCCCCACAGTGGTTGGTGAGGGCACCAAACCCCCACAGTGCCTCGTGAGGGAACCAACGGCCCTCCTCCCCTCGCCATGGCCACGGCGATCCCCGCCCAGCAGCCCGAGGAATGCCCGCTCCACAGGGAACGCTCCCCGCTCGCTCGCCCGTCCCGCCCCGCCGGAGGAGCGGCAGGGCGGGCAGGGCCGCCCACATAAGGCGGGCTCAGCGCGGGCTGCCCGGGGAAGAGGCGGCAGCAGTAGCGGCTGGTCCGGGTGGAGCCGTCATGGAGATGGGGTGGCTGCTATGGGGCACGGCCGTGCTGCTGCTGCTCCACGTCCTCATGGAGCTCAGCCCCACCGTCAACTTCGCGCTGCGCATCGGCTTCTACTGCGTGCTGTGCCTGGTGGCCTCGGCGCTGGCGGCCGTAGCCTGCCTGCTGATCAACGGCGGCCGCACCGTCAAGAACATGAGGTGAGAGGGGAACGGGGGCCGGGAACAGCGGTGTCACCGCCCCGCCGCTGCCCGGAGCCCCTGGGGTGGTGGCGGCCTCTGTCACACCGGTGGCAGCGCAGCCCCGGGGGTCCCCTCTAGGCTCAGGGGTGGCTGTCCTGGCCTGTGGCGGAGCTCTCGGCAAGGCATGTTTGGGGATGAAGCGCCTGGAAGGTGGCGGTGGTGGCTTTTCTAGGGAAAGCTGGAAGAGAGCGGTGTTTGTTGAGAGTGGCAGAGCGCTGGAGCAGGCTGTCCAGGGAGTGTGAGGAATCTACCTGTCTGGAGACATTCCAAACACACCTGTGTCACTGGGTGACCCTGCCGTGGCAGATGGAGCCGGTCTCTAGAAGGTTCCTTTTGATCCTGACAGTTGGGTGGTTGTGTTTGGGCTGTTTCCTGCCCCGGCAGCAGAGGCTGGCAGGCTGTGTGCCATGTGCTGCCGGGGCACGGCTCTCCTGCAGCTGTTGTCCGGCCCTGTGTCCCCTGACAGGACACCTGTGACAAGGCCCAAGGGGCTGCTGTCATCCAGCACCCCGTCTCCGTGCCAAGGTACATTCTATGGACAGAGCTGGCACTTCTGCTGGCAGCACAGGACAGCTCATTTCCTGGTTTTGCTCTCCCCTAGGCAGCTTTTTACCTCTGCTGAGCGTGTCGTGTGGATGCAGCGGAAAGGAGAGCCTTAACATCCTTTAGGATCAAAGGTTGGCAGCATCCGAGCAGGTGGAGCTGGACTTTGCTTTGCAGTGTGGCTTTCACATGTAGGACTCAGGGTGGAGGGAGCTGATGTGGTGCCTTGAGGGCTGTGCCCTGCCGGTCCCAGCTGGTGCCATGGCCCCAGGCAGTCTGCTCTGTGATCTCCAGCCTGGCTCTCTCTCCAGCTTTGGTTGCCTTGGCTCACTCAGGAGCAGCTTTCCAGCACTCAGCTAGCTCTGCAGCTGGGAGAATTTATGATGTCAGTGATGGAATCGCTATCCTTTTATTTCCCCCCAAAAATAAACCCTCTAAACTTTATGTAAACTTCAAGGAATTATTTGGGAACAAGAATTTGCATTGGATAACTCCTCCTGTTGAAACCCAGGCTGAATTTTGGCCAGAGCCACCCTTTTCCTGTAACTTAAGCCTGTTGTTTCCTTGTAGTGGCACTAGCTGAAGATTCTGGTGATGTATCCCAGCCCCTGGGAGGTCCATGGCTGAGGTGATGCAGTGAGTTCCTTATTTCTCCAACATCCCAGGCTGTTTATTCCAGCTTGGGAAAGGGGGCTGGAGCAGAGCATGTGCTGGTGGACAGACAGTGATAATGGTGTTGTTGCCTGGCGCAGAACACCCCGTTCTTGCTGTGCTGCTGGCTCCAGTGTCGAGCTGGTGTGACTTGAGAGAGGTTACCCAGGGTGTCTGATAGAGATAGAACTGTTTATCTGGGGTAAAACATCTTGCACGAGCCTCCAATCTGGTAAGCAGATTTCAGTAGTCCTTGAAAACCAGAGTATCCCAAACAAGCCTCTGTGACTGGCTGAGCAGCAGAGCACGTGAATCTGGGGGCTGCTGGCTTTCATACTCACACTGTTAGGGATGCACTGAAAAGTCCCATTCCCTGTCATTTTTGTGCTCCTTGTCTCTGGCAATAAGTGCATTGGTTTTACAGCTCTCTGCAGCTGTGGCTGCACCACGTCTGAGTCGATGATTCTGACATAGAAGTCACTTGTGGGGTTGTGGGGACTCAGATCCATCCTTTAACCCTGTGGGTGACGTGGCCAGCCCAGCAGGTCACCCCTGCTCTTTGCCTGCTCTGAGCTCTGCCCCTTTGCCTCTTTCAGTGGCTCACGCCACATCTTGTGCAAGGAAAGTCTGTCCCCGGGCTGGCAGGAGGAAGCTGGATGGTTGCTCTTGAGTAATGTGTAACCAGCCTCTCCCAGCAGCCAGTGAGCACTGTGACTTCCAGAGCGGTGACCTCTTTTTTGGTTGGCAGTCAGAAGGGAGGAGAAGTGTGATTTAGGTCACCCTGGTGGCCTGGCATCCCCCATGACCTCTCTGGTTCGTGTCACCCTGCCTCGGCTCACCTGTACCCCCATCTCTTCACCTGCACTGCACCCCTGTAACCTTGGAGCGGGCTGTGGAGCTCTGCATTCCTCCCTGTGTCCTTTCCCCGGGTGTGGCTCTTTGCAGCAAGTTGACATGAGGACTGATAACAGTGTCACCTCGGGGCATTGGCCTGGCCTGAACTCCAGTGTCACAGCCAGCTCGGGTGGTCTGCATGGGGGGACACCCCACGGAGATGTGAACCCTGCTGTGGGTAGGAGCAAGCTGGGGGAAGTGCTGTGGCTCAAGAGTTTATGGAGACTTTCAGAGAGCAGATGCTGGGAGCTGCTGCCAAGGATGAGATGCTGTCCAGGTGCTCACCTCCCACCTGAGTGACAAGGATGCCTCTCAGCAGGATGGTGCTGCACAGTTCCCAAGCTGGACTCTGTGGTGGGGACAAAGCTGGCTGTCCCTCACTCTCCTGCTGCAGGAAGGAAAGCTCCGTCCCCTGTCTGCCAGGGAGAAGGTGGCTCTGAGGCAGGACATCCAGGTGCTTGCTGGAGGTCAAGTCAACTTGAATCAGCTCTAGGGAGAGCAGATCCAAGCTGGTGGCTGTTCCTGGGAGCCTTGTTCACGTGCAGGCTCCTCTGCCACCTGTCCTGTAAATGGCTGTTCCCTTGCCCAAAATAGCCCCCGTGTTCTGCCAGCGTCTGCCTGTGTCCTTTGGCCTAGCTGGAGAGTCCCCAAGTGCCCCGGTCAGGGGGTGGCATAGATGGGCCCTGCTCCTGTGGGCTGACAAGGAAATGTGCTCCAGTGCTGGCATGGCTGTTGGAGTGTCCCAGCTGGGAAAAGCTGGGAGCTCTGTCAGACCTGCACATCCACTGGGGAAGGGCAAAAGCTTCAGCGTGGGTTTGCTTGGGGGCGCCCAGCCTCTGCCAAGCCACGTGAGGAGCATCCTGTTTGCTGCCTGCATCCTTGCCTTGTGCCGGGAAGTGTTTCTCACCTTCATTCCCCTCCTTCCTTGGGCACCCCGGCTTTGTTTGTATCACTGAGCCCCATCTCCCAGCACTGCAAGGAGCAGACCTGGCAGAGCCTTCCTTGGGTGTCGGGTGTGCTGGGGAGTGGCAGCTCCTGGGAGAATTGTTTGACAATTTGTGGGGCCCTGCTGCTTGCAGGAGGAAGAGCCTGGTAGCGCCAGGGCAGCCCAGAACCCTGGTACTGAACAGCACTCCTGCAGCACATGGGACCATGCAGGACAGACACCTGGGTGGACCACAGCACAAATAAGACTGGAGGTTCTCTGTCCCAGAGCTCTTCTTGTCTCCTTCCACCCCCACTGGGTATTGCAGGCCTTGGCCTCTCTACTCTGCTGCTGACTGGTTTTTTTTTTTCTTCTGCAGAATCATCAAAGCTGTTGTCAAGACCTTCAAGTATTTATTCGGCTTGAGGTTTGAGGTGAAGGGACTGGAGAACTTCAAGGTGGAGGGCCCTGCTGTCATTTTGTCCAACCATCAGAGCATCCTCGACATGATGGGTGAGGAGCTGGTGGGAGGGAAGAGAACATTTCTCCTGCTCACCTTTGGGAGAAGTCCTGCTTGTACCTCCTGGACAAGCAGCCTTGGTGCAGCTTCCCCATCAGTGCTGGTTGTGGGGAGGGTCTGCTGTCACTCTGAGCAACCCCACACCTCTGCAGCCCCCCAGGTTCTGCTGTCCTTGGGGTGCTGGCCCAGCACACGTGCCAGTGGCCCTGCTGGACTTCCTGGGGCTGGGGAATCAGCTGCTGTCACCTGCAACCACCCTGCCCACTAACTCTGCTGTGTGCCAAGCCTCCTGCTCTCAGAAGCCAGGAGAGAAGCAAGACACCAGCCTGTCCCTGGCGCCCCTGTCCTTGTCCCAGGGGTGACTGCTGGGTCTTGCCCTCTGCCATCCCACTAGGGCTGATGGAGGTCCTGCCCGACAACTGTGTCCAGGTGGGCAAGAAGGAGCTGATGTACATGGGCAGCGCGGGGCTCATCATGTACCTGGGTGGAGTCATCTTCATCAACAGGAAGAGCACCAACAGTGCCAAGATGGTCATGTCAGAGGTGGCCAAGACTATGGTGGCTGAGAATGTGAGTGTCACTGCGGAGCTGGGTGGAGTGGCATGGGGGCATTGTGGCACTCCTGGTGCTCCTGGCTCAGCTTGGCAGAGCTGGCTGGTGGCTCCCACCACTGCAAGTGGATTTCTGGAGCAGAGCATTGTCTCTCCATGTGCAGGTGAAGGTGTGGGTATATCCAGAGGGCACGAGGAACTGCACTGGGGATTTGCTGCCATTCAAGAAAGGAGCATTTCACCTCGCTGTCCAGGCACAGGTAACTGCATGGGAACCCTGAGTGATTTTGCAGTGGCACTGCACACTGATCGTGCAGAGTGTGGTTTGTTTGCTCTCAGATGAGCTGTGTTCCCAGGTAAACCACTGGTGTCAGAAGTGCTGCCCTGCAGCAGCCAAGGGCCTTTTCCATCCCCTCTGGGAATGAGCATGAATGGCTGTAGACAGTGGAGAACTGCCCTGTCCTCTCTCCTGCCTGCCCAGTCCTGGTGTCCCCTCTGGAGGGAGGGCTGTGAGGGACAGGCACACTTGATCCCTATTTTCAGGCTTTCCTGGCAGCATGGCAGGGCAGTGCCAGTGCCCAGGGCTTCCTGGGGGCATGGCTGCAGCCCAGAGCTCGCTCCTGGCAGGGAGCCCAGTGGGTTCTTTCCTGGGGAAGCCCAAAGCTGACGATTCATTTCTCAATCCCCCGGGTCTCAATTGTGTAGTGATGATTCAGGATTGTTAATTCTTGTGCTTTAGAGCAACATCTGGGCTTGCTCTGTGTGAAAATAGCTGCTGCCTCCCTGGCAGCCATATGGCAGTTCTTGATATGTCTTTTCTCTCCGAAATGACAGCATCCATGAGCAGTTAGTGGGGGAGCAGGCCAGAGCTGTCTCAGGAGCAGGGTGTTTGCCTGGGCACAGTGCTGGGGCAGTGTGCCAGACACTGGGATGACTCGAGGCCTCGGGGGAAACTGGTTTCCCCAGGAAAGGTGCTACAGCAGGGATTTTGGGAAAGGGAAGAGATGCCAGCTCTCTGACTGGGTTCCTTTGGCCAAGCCCTGGGTGTAGCCTGTGTTGTACCATCCCCATTCCTGCCTGGGTGATGCAGCCAAGGCAGAGCCTGGCAGCTGCTGGAGGAAAGGATGACATGGAACTGGTTCCTGCCTCTGCTACACCCCCCTGAGTCACCAACTGTAGATCCTGGCTGTGTTACCAGCACTGGAACAACAGCTCTGCCTGCCCTCCTGGCCCTGTGTCTGTGTGAAGCTTCCCTGGGAGCAATTGATAACAACTGGTGACTCCTTTTCCTAGAAACTGAGAGCAGAGCAGCCACCCTGCCCCAGACACGTGCCTGTACAGCAGGCAGGGCCTGTCACAACAGGCAGCCTACAGTGTTTGATTGCAGGACAGAAAATACCTGGGGTTTGGAGCCTCACTTGGGTTGAGGAGCCCTAAAAGCCAGCTCTGAGCTGAGGCTGGGGTGGAACTTGGCCCTGGTTCCTTGAGTATCCCTGTGCCTCAAGTCTTTGGGGAGTGCTTTTGATTCCATTTGACTGCTGATTATTCTACCCTTTGGCAGTGGGTGTTGTTGGTGGGGCTGCGTGTGCCCTGTGTGTCTGAGAGCCAGGCCAGGTCAGCTCTGCAGCGTGGCATTTGCTGTCTGTCTCTGGCTTGCCCTGAGCTGCTGAAGTGCCACTAACTCCTCTTTTCCTTCCCTTCCCCAAGGTCCCAGTGATCCCTGTGGTGTATTCCTCCTTCACCAGCTTCTATAACCCAAAGACAAAACTGTTTACATCAGGTAACAAACAGTCACTTGGAGACAGGGTTGCTGTTGTCCTGTGTGGAGATCTGGCTCACAGGGGTGTGGGAGGGAAGCAGAGCTGGGGTGAACAGGAGGAGCCCTGCTGGGAGATGTTTGGAGGCAGTTCAAAGCACTTGGCACCAGAGCCTGGGCTGGGTTAACTCAGGAAGGGCTGTAATTAAAATACACTGGGGGATGTTTTCATTAAAAATTGGGTGCCACCTCCTGCTCTGGGCAGGCTCTGGCTGGGATGGCAGTTTGGGGCACAGGGGGGTTATTCTGGGTGGCACAGCTGTTGGAGCTGGGATCTAACTCTGCCTGTGCTCCAGGGGTGGATGCCTGGAGCCCTGGGAGGGGTTGAGGGCTGTGCTGGGGCTGTCCAGGGTGGGGAACAGGGCACAGAACAGAGCTTCTGTGGTGTGTGGATTTCTCACAGGCTCCTCTCTTGTCCCCAGGCAAAATCAAGGTCGAGGTTCTGCCTCCAATAGAGACCAAAGGGCTGACGTCAGACGATGTCACCGAGCTCTCTGACAGATGCTTCAGCACCATGAGGGAGACCCTCTTCAGGCTGTCAGGCCACCCAGGCCAGGCAAAGGACTCATCCTAGAGCCTTCTCCAGTGGTGTCACCGTGTGGTGGTGGCTGAAGGGACCTACCTGTCTGTTCTTGCCAAATACTGAAAGATCTTCTCCTCCTCTGCAGTGATTTCTAACTCTTGGGAGCACCACAGACTGGCACACACAGGGTGTCAAGCCAGCACTAAGGTTCCCCTCTGAGTGGATTTCTCTTATGGGTTCATTTTCTCACTTTGCAATATCTCCTTTTTTCTGAATTTCTCAGGCATCAAACTTGTGCTACCAAAGGGCTCAATGACTAGAGAGGTGAGTTCCCCCAGCTCTTGCAGCTAGCTTGGGGTGACAGCAAAAAAACCTGCCTGGAGCCTGAGCTCTGCCTCGTGTGACTGTCCCTGCAGCTGTGTTCCTGCAGGCTCAGCTCCTGAGGTGGCCCTGTGATGTCCCAGGTGGAACCCACCATGCAGCAGTTTGTATCAGCACAACCTTGATGCTCAAACAGGGCTGAGAACTGGGGTGAAAATCCAGATTTTGGCTTTTCAGCAGTGCTAGGAGTGTGGTGTCCTGCCTGGACAGCCCAGAGCACTCCCACTCACCAGTGGGACACACAGGCCTGTCCCCTTGAGGTGCCCTTGTGTCACAGCAGCATCACGTTGGGAAACTGCTGCCAGCTCCCCGCCGTGGCGGTGGCTCAGCCTGGTCGCATCCCTGCAATGCCCCTTCTGGAGGCAAAGGGCTCTGTCGCGCTCGGTTTGTCACTTGTCATGGTCAGCGCTGGCCGAAAGATGGTGCCTGTCCCGCGTCTCTGCTGCTCTGCGGGGCGGAGCTGCTCAAACCCCTGCAGAGCCACAGGGTGGGTGAGCTGCAGCTGGAACGCGGCTGGGAAGGCTTCAGCTCCCCCTTTGGGGGATATAAACCGCTTTTCCAGCCGGATAAAACGGGTTCCCCTGTGCCTTGGGGTGATGGACCAACAGAGCTCCTGCATCCCTCACCGGGAGCTGTGGGATGTTGGGGGCTGGCTCAGGTCCGTGGTTCTTTAGCTTTAGCTCTCCTGGGAGCTTGGGGTAAACCAGCTGGGGCTACTCAGGTAAGCAGCACACCCAGCTCCTGCAGTTGTGTTTGTGTGGCCTCAGCTGGGAAAGGCAGGGAGCTCCATGGAAGGAGCCCCGGGGCCCAGCTGGTGCTGCCAGGGCCTTCATTGGAGGGGCCTTAGTACAGACTCAGGGGATGGGAAGGGTCGGGGTGGGAGGATGGGAACCAAACCAGCACTTTGTGAGAGTGGCAGATAAAGGGCTGTCATGGAGGGTTAAACCCAGGAGGGCCCTCGGAGGGCTCCTGGGGAGGGGAACCATGTCTGACTCCTCCTGGGAGGAGGGAGCAGTGCCTCTATGTGCAGTTGTCTGCTGTTCACTTTTAATTGGGCTGAGAATGTTATCTGCTTTACAAAAAATGAACCAAAAAAAAAAAAAAAAAAAGGAAATTACACCTTTGGTTATTTAAATAAAGGAGCCTCCTTGTCTTGTGTGGGGGCTGAGGGAGGAGGATGTGGGGTGCTGAGCCCTGAGCTCTTGCAGGGGCTGGGTTTGGTGATGGAGGGGCAGGGGGAGTCCTTGTCCCCACCCTGTGCCCCCAAGACAGGAGGGCTGTGCTTCACCCAGCCTCACTGCTGAGGCACCATCCACCTCCAGAGCAGAATGGGAGCTGCAGGGATGGGCACCCACTCCTGTACCCAGCTCTGCAGAGACCAGGTGCTCCTGTCCCTGCTGTGACACCTGGCTTGGAGCTGCAGGGACTTGTCCCCACCTTCTCCCTGTGACAGCAAGCCCAGGGAGCGTGAGCTGGGCCAGGTGTGTGTTGCACAGCCAGCCCTGTGCCTGCTGCTCCCTGGGAGCTGTTACCCCAGGATAGCGCTGAGGGGCAGCTGAACACCCCCAGGTGACACACAGGCAGTCTGGCACAGGCAGGCACTCATGGCACGAGGTGTAAGGCATTTATTTGCTGCCTCTCCAGCAGGGAGAGGGCTCAGAGTCCAGTTTGGAAGGAACTGTGTGGCCTCTGCTGAGGTGAGCTGGAAGAGAGAATGATGAAGATGCTGATGGGAGCCCAGCCTTCTTCTGCCTTCTCCTGCCGCCCTGTACCTTCCTGTGATGGTGTGCCTTCATCCCCAGCCTGGGGCTGGAGAGGGAGAGAAGAGCTGTGGGTGGACGCAGCTTGCTCCAGGTCCCCAGGCACTCTGCTAGAGTTCATTCTTGCAGGAACCTGGGAAGATTGGAAAAAAAAAAATAAATTCAGCCAGATAAATTCAGTCATTAGCCTGGCAGAATGAGACTGAGCTGAACCTCTGGGAATGTCACCCACACTTGCTGCTTTCCTTTTGGCAAACAGCCCCAGGCTGGCTTCATCCCCCCACACCCATGAGTGTCACTGTCACCTCCCTGGCATGTCACAGTCCTTGCCTGGGCCCTGTGCACAATGTCCCCAAATCCAGTGGCAGTAACAGCCTGTGCTGGATCAGGGGCCAAAATCATTATGGTTTACAGAGCTCTGACCTGGTGCCTCTGCTGGTGGTTTAAAGACGAGAAAATGGGGTTTTGGTCATTGCACACATCCCCACTGAGCAGTAAATTGGGGAGTGCAGTTGTAGGGTTGCATTCAGCTGGGAAATGTTCCACCAGGCACAGAACAGGGATGGCTGAGTGACTCCATGGGATGCCCTGTGAGCCCCAGAGCTCGCTGGGGTACGACAGGACAGCTTTGTGTCCTACAGGGACCATGAAAAGAGACAAAAACAGGTTTTGCTTGCTGAGACAGACTTGGCAGAAATTAATTTCAGGACTTTGGAGTCATCCCTTGGAATGAATCCATGTTACCTTGTGATACTGCTCACATTCCTCGGTGCTGTCACTAATAATATGTGCAGGGCACTACTAGAAAACCCAGCCTGCTGGAACACTCAGTGGTTCTGGTAATTACCCCTTTCTGAGATGGTTTTTAAGTGTCTATTTGCAGCCACTTTGTCTTCAGACAAGTTCTTTGAATTCTTTTCCTCTCTCAGCCATTACTGCAAGCACTGAACTGGGACTGAATATGCCCTGAACCAGTTTCTCCTGAGTCTTTCCAAGACTCAGCAAGCTGCTGTTGCACACCCCAGCCGTGCCTAGTTTCTGGAATTATTTAATGGGAAAATGAGCTGCAAAGAGCCGCCTATCAAAAGAAAAGATAAGAAAATAAGTGTTCTGCTTGGAGTCCAGGTGAGCACCACAGGGACCCGAGGGGATGCTGTCCTTCTGCATGGTGGGGACACCAGGCAGGATCCCCACCTGCAGCCATTTCACACATGACAGCTCTCACTGGGGTCCTTTCCTCAGTTTGCTACCTCAGAGACCCTCTCTGGTGCCCTTACTGCTCTGTAAACTTCCAAAAGAAATGCCTAAAACTTCCCAGGCTCATAAATCTGCCAACTTCTGCACGCTCCCTAAACTTCCCTGATTGACTTTTTGGGCTGGTAATTTCCCAAGAATTGGGGGATCTTTCCTAAGGACTGAGTTACCAGAAAGGGACAGGAGTTGTGAGGTGCTGCCTGCCCAGTGCCTCTCTCAGCCCCACAGCCACGTTTCCATGTGCCAATCCTACAACTTCTGGCTGCTACGTGGGCAGTCAGATGGTGCAGCCATAGAAACAGCTTTGAAATGAAGCTAATGGGCTGTTTGTGTTCATCCTTTATTAATTACAGGCTGCTGAGCTTGAGGCAGATCCAGATTAACAGTGGCATATGTGTTACTGATCTCGCTGGCCCGCATGGCTGCAGGGACATCCTCCCCCACTGATTTTCCAGGCACTTACAGGTCTCCAGCCTCTCCTCCAGGAAGGAGATCTGCTCGCTCAGGGAGTCAATCCTGTCCAGCTGCTGCAGGGAGTGTGACAGGCGGCTGATGGGGTCTGCACCCACATCCTCAGGCGGCATCAGGTTGTGGAAAGGGGCCAGCACCAGCTGGAGCTTCTGCAGGGAGAAGGGGAGCTGTGAGTGCATCCCCCCGGCCAGCAGGACCACCCGGGGGATGCAGCACCCACCAGGGAGGGCTCAAGGGGCTGTGCTTGTGTTCAAAGGGCTGGAAAAGCCGTGGCGTGGGTGGCTGCAGGGAACACAGCTGGGATCGCTGCTGGGATGGTAAACACAGAGCCAGGGAGGAGGGAAATCCTGGCTGCAAACAGCCCCGGGTGGGAGCAGGGCACGGGGATGTGCTGCCACTCACCTGCTCCAGAGCTTCCACTCTGCTCCGCAGGTCCTTCATTTCTTCCTTCATTTCACTGGAGGCACCTGAAAAAGTGACCCAGGGGATGTCAGTGAGTTAAAGCCCGCTGCTGAGTGAGGTGGAAGCTGCTGGGGAGGAAGACACGGCTGCAGGGCTCTGGCCAAGCCCTGCTTTCCTGCTTTCCACCCCCAGAGCGTCAGCTGGACCTGCTGGCATCTGGTCCAGCTGCTCCTGCTGCTGCAGCACCTGCAACAAAGCGGGGAGGGTTTCAGGCACTGGGGCGATGCTCTAAGGACAAGAGATCTGCTGGATCCTGGCCTTTTGTGCCCGTGCTGCCACAAAACACCCAGCTGTGCCCTGTGCTCGGTGGGCACAGGGGGTTGTCCCTGTCAGGGCCCTGCACAGGGGCAGAGGCAGGTGGGGCACGTGCAGGCTGTCCCAGGTGTTTGCTGTGTGATGCCCGTGCTGGCCACAGCGCATTATTACTCACGGTACGAGTTTGAAGTGTCACAGCGCGTACCAAAAGTAATAATGGGCCGTCACCAGCGCCGCTCCTCGTGGCTCCAGAGCTGCCCTGCAGGAACCAGAATGATGAGGGAGAGAGCAGACACATCCCAGACAGCTCCAGCCACAGCCAGGCCCTGCCACCCTCACACGGATGGATTTGTGCTCAGGGGAAGCTGTTTGGGTGGGAGAAGCACTCCTGGCTCCGAGAGAATAAAGCTGAGGGGCTCTGGCTGTTGTCCCCTCTCCCATCTCCTGCAATGCTGAGTGTTCCCTCAGCTCCCACTGGGGCCCAATGTGGGGACAGGATACCTGCGTGGCTGGAGGTGTCTGTCCCAGGAGCTGGCACCAGGGGCTGGCAGCCCTTGGCATCGGCAGCCAGGCTGAAGCCGTCCAGGCAGGCGCAGTGGAAGCTCCCGGCTGTGTTGATGCAGAGCTGGCTGCACCTGTGGCTCTGGCTGGCACATTCATCCACGTCTGGAACACAGGAACAGCTCAGTGAGGAGGGGACAGGGTGAGGGGCACAGGGGGGCTGCAATGGAACCCAGAGAGTGCCCCCAGAGTGAGCTGGTGTTTGTGCTAGGCACAGCTCTGGGTGTCTGAGCGCCTGGGACAGCCCTGAATAAACCTGGGCTAAGCTGGAGGGGGTCTGGCCTCCTCCCCTCCTCCTGCTCCCCCCACAATACCACCACAAGGAGATGCGGTCAGAAATGTCCCAGCTCTGGCCAGGCAGTGCTTGCTCTCATCCCGGATTTACGGCCAGGGTTTTGGTTCCCGCCAGCTGTGGCGAGGAGCTATCAGCCTTTCAAGTGTGTACAGAACCCAGTAACCTCTCCTCACACGGGGGAGTTATTAAAGCTGTTCCCACAAAGCAGAAAGAGCTGAAGCTCTTCCCACGCCTGGGCAAATCTGTTTTAGGCAGTGGGAAAATCCTTTCCCTCGGAGCTGGAGCTGTCAGCGATGGGCTCAGCCCTGCCCGGCCCAGCATGGGTCAATGCCACACGCTCCTCCTCTGCCTTACAGGAGGCTGGAGAGCTGGGAAAAGCTGGGAAATGCCGTGGCAGGGGTTTGCAGCACTGGTGTGCAGCACACTGCCTGATTTCTCCATGCTGTGAGGAGCACTGGGGCTGTTCCTGTGCCTGGACACCACCAGGCTTCCCCTCCACCCCCAGATATTTTTGGTGCATGGATTTTTAGTCTCTGCAGTAAAAGGGCATTTTAGTTTACAGCAAGAGTTTACAAAGCCTGGGAGGGATGATCACAAACACACAATCCCAGGCTGGCCCCACAAGGGCTCTGTGCTGCAGAGAGGCTCTGCTTGCTCTGACCCAGCACAGAGCAGCAGGCACAGAAAATGGGGCTGCACAGGAGGGAGCACTGAGGGAGCCAAAGGGAGCCACACTTCCCATCCTTCCCTGGAGCAAGTGTCATGTGTGTGCAGAGGGACAGAACCAGACATGGCCCAAGGTCTGATAAGGGATAAGGTCTGACACGGTCCCTGTCCCCCCTGAGGGGTTGGTGTGGGGCAGAGGACACCCAGAGCCCCATGGCAGCTCTCCCAGCAGCAGGGCAGGTGTGACACAGGGGCAGGGACAGGGGGACATGGCCAGTACCTGTCTGGCAGGCTCTCCCCGTCCAGCCAGGGGGGCAGGAGCATCTCCCAGGGAAGGCACAGCTCCCTCCGTTCTGGCACGGCTCCCAGCACACAGCTGTGACAGGAACACAGCACAGCATCACCCAGCTGCTCCCCTGCTCCCTCCCTGCTCCCGGGGCTGTGCACACCCCAAAACAGCAGCACACAGCTGGGCTGAGCTGCCCAGAGGGAACAGGGCTCAGGGTGGGTGGGAGGAAGAGGAGCTGAGAAGAAGCTGAAGGCCCTGCAGGCAGCAAAATGGGAAGGAGGAGGGCAGCAGGCAGCAGCAGCACCTGGTGCCATATTCTGAGCCCATTGGGGACAGCCTGGCTGCTGTGGTTTGTATTTGTTGCCTCCTGACAGCGTTTCTCATCCATTTCTGCTGATTTAGATGGGAAGGAATTGTTTTATTGATCCTCTGGTAACTCTAAAGGTAATAAGTGATCCCAAAGGAAAAAGGCCCAAGAGGCAGCAGAGAAAAGCTGGGCATTAATCAGATACTGAACCACATTTGGCTGTGATGCTGAAAATTTAATTCAGGGAGAATCCACTGACAGGCAGAGGGTTGGTAAATGAGAGATGTGGTCCTGGGGCTCCCTCCAGGGACACGAGGGCTCTGGGGACAGGCAGTGGCACCGGGGTGACCCAGAAGCTCCTTACCTCTGTTACAGCCCAGCGTGTGCCCGTTTGCTCTGCTCCATCCAGGACAGCACGAGGCCATGGGCTGGGGCAGCTGCCTGAACCTCTGCCTGTAGGCAACCCTGTAGATGGTCCTGCAAGGCAAGGCTGGGCTGAGCAGGGTGCCCCAAACCCCTGCCCTGCTCCCAGATCTGGGATCCCTATTCCAGTGGGGGGAACTGTCTCAGGCATCTTTCATGAAAAATCTTTTCTTCAGGATTTTTCTTCTTAAGAAGCTGAGAGGCTTCAAGAACAAAATGTAAACAATGGTTATCTGCTGCTGTGGAATGCAACAGGTGGATCTGTGATTAGCCCATGTTGATTGTTTTTAATTAATGGTCAATCACAGTGAGCTGGCTCAGACTGTCTGAGGCAGAAGCTTTGTTATAATTCTTTCTTTCCTATTGTATTCCTAGCCAGCCTTCTGATGAAATCCTTTCTTCTATCCTTTTAGTATAGTTTTAATGTAACATATATAATAAAATAATAAATCAAGCCTTCTGAAACATAAAATCAAATCCTCATCTCATCCCTCAACCTGAGACCCCTGTGAGCACGGTCACACGGGACAGAACCCCCACGCCTGTGGGGGACAGAATCCCCAGAATCCCCACGCTTGTAGGGGGACAGAATCCCCAGAATCCCCACACCTGTGGGGGACAGAATCCCCAGCATCCCCATGCTTGTAGGGGGACAGAATCCCCAGCATCCCCACTCCCGTGGGTGCAGCAGGGTCTGTGCTGCCCCTGGCACAGGAGGGCTCACCTGTAGGTGCTGCAGAGCCTCTGGCCCGGGCAGGTGGTGAGGTAGGGCTGGTACACGGGCTGCACGTGGGACTCGGCGCGGGCGCTCGGTGTCGCCGTGGCTGAGCACACCCTGCGCCTGGGCACACAGAGCTGGGTCAGTCCCACACCCTGACACGGCCTCAGCTCCCCTCCCTGCACTGGGGTGCCCCACTGACCTGGGAAGCCACTTCAAGCTGTTTGGGGTCAGTGACACAATTCTGGAGCGGCGCGGGCGCTTCCTCCCCCGTCCCAAGGGACCCAGATTTAGGGATGATTTACTCATTACATCCATTGTCTCCCTTCCCCTAAAATCACTCACTTTCTGGGCGGATTTTTCCTTTCTGAGACATTCCTGAAACGGATGCCGCTGTGGTCACCGAGAAATTAATGATTTCACAGGAAGGGTCAGGCTCACCGCAAAAAAAAATTAGAGGTTGGACAAAAGGCACTCCCCAGCTTTCCTAAGATAAGTGTTATCCAGGCAAAAACTTTCCCAAGGTTGACAGCCAAAGTGGTCTTGGTTAAACATCCTTTTTTTCAACAATTTCCAGCCCAAGCAGGTCAGTCCCACTGAGGAACCCATCTCCTTGTCTCAGCCTCCCAGTTCAATTAGAAACTAAAATAAAGAGCCTGGGAATTAGCATGGACATCAGATGGTTTCCATTAACTCCAGAAAACTCCTCTCAGCCTCATGATTAATGTTATAGAAGATGCAATTTTTAAATGGCAATTGTTTGCTTTGTGAAATCCAGAACAAAGTTTTAGCTGCAGCCTGTGCGTGTGAGAGAGGAATTCAGCTGCGGTTTCAGTCCTGGGCAGAATGTGAAAGGTTTGACACTGGAGGAGCATTTCAGTGTAAAAACAAACTTTGTAGAAAATGTGAGCTGTGTCTGGGGGAGGGTTTGGAGCTCCAGCTTCTCTCGGTTCAGGAAGAAACTGGGGCAGTGAGCTCTGGGCTCCCTCAGAGCAGCAGGAGCCGAGCTGTGCCTGCCCTGGCTGTGCTGGGAGCTCTCCCAGACCCATTTCCCACAAAGGGAAGGGGAATTGCTGCAGCTACCCCTGCTGGGGAGCACAAAACCCAGCCTGGGGTTTCCACACCTGTGCCTGGGTGTCCATCAGACAGGGAGCTGCATCCTCCTCTGATGGGAGCTGCATCCTCCAGTGACAGCTTGTTCACAGGGCTTGACTGATGTGCTAGCAGGATTTCACACATATTTTCATGAAGGATGTGCTTGAAAGAGAAGGTAATCATTCCTGAACAGCTCAGGGCCTGATGAGCCTTTGACTCTCCTGGACAAAAAGCCCAGAGCGTCTTTGTGTCCCTGCCTGGAGTTACACAGAGCTGGGACATTTCCTCTGAGAGATGTTTTAGCTCCAGTGAGAAAGCAAACAACCCGCAACGGGCTGCTGAGGCATGGGAGAGCTTTTTCCACCTCCTCACCAGCCCAGAGAGGACACAGGGCTGTTCCCACCAGAGAGGGCCTGGATGGAGAACACACCTGAGAGCTGCAAACAAAACAAAACCTTACCCTGCTGGGGCAAAGCCCTCCGTGCTGGCGGTGCTGAGGATGAGGAGGAGTCCCCAGAGGAGGCAGCTGAGGCTCCTCATGTCCCGTCGCTCCTGCAGCACTGGGTCCTGCTGTTCCCTGGGATGTGCTGGCTCCTTCCTACTGCATGGCTGGTCCTTCAGTGGGGATCCCTGCGGGCAGGAGGGCACCGCTGTCAGTGGCAGGGCATTGCAGGAGAAAATTCTTCACTGGCAGAGAGATTGGGCGCTGGGATGGGCTGCCCAGGGGGACAGCGGAGTCACCGTCCCTGGATGTGTTTATAAAAAGAGTGGATGTGGAAACACTGCCATGGTGTGGTTGATAAGGAGGTGTTAGGTGAAAGGGCTTCATCTCAAAGGTCTTTTCCAGCCTAGGTCGTTTTATGAGGTGACACCCAACAGAGCCATGGGGACCAACCCAGGCAGGGTGGGAGCTGCTCCAGGCACAAACCCACCCTGCCCTGCTCATCCCATCACTGTGCACAGCATTAATTCAGGAATTACCCTTGATTTACCCCGGGGGATGCCTGGAGATGCTCTCATGGCACCAGGGGCTGCCCAGCTGTGTGTTAGGGGCAGGGAGGGGATGTGTTTTGCCTCCAACTCGCTGCCAGTTCCAGGCAGTGAGGGTAAAACAATGGCCTGTCATTTCTTAATGCACACAGCATTGTAAAGCTGTGCTTTCCCACCACATAAAACACTGAAATCTGATCTTCTTCTCTTTAAAACACAAATTCGTGACAGAGAAAAGTGCTGTAAGGGCCATATGTACCATCTGCAGAGTGAGCTCTGAGCACAAACCCAGAGGTTTTGATTTTCTAGCACAGGACAAATACAAAACAAGGCTGAAGAGGGTCAGTAACTATATCCTATTGAAACAATATCTCATTTAAACAAAGCACTTGGCCTCCGGAGGGCAGCAGCTGAAGGAGGAAGAAATAAAGAAACCCACCTTAAATATGCACCAATTAAAGAAAGAATCTTCTGATTAAATTTTCTGAAAGGAGAGACTACACAACAAGAAACCTCCTTCTGAGACTGCAGATTTGGTGAGCTGCAAGTCAACTTTCTAAAATCCCCACACGCTGTGGGGCAGGATTGGACTGGAAAATTGCAGTTTGATCCCCAAGCTCCACTGGGAAATCCCAACTCTGAGACAGGATTTTACAAATAACCATGGCAAATCTGCAGACATGCAGGTCCCCAAGCCCTTCTCCAAGGATTGCCCTTTTTCCTTGGTGCAAGAGAAGAATCTGAGCAGGGAGAAATGGAGAATCACATCTGGAGAGAACCCAGCCTGGTGCCTTCCACCTTCATATCAAATGTCAAATATCAAATATCCCAGCAGATTTCCATGCAAGCCCAGCCCTGAGGATGCAAGGAGGATTTTGGTGCTTTAAAGCCTGTAGTCCTCCATTCTTCTTCAAACACTGCAATTAGTTTAATTTCCTAATGAAGAATTTATGGTACCCCCACCATCAGGAAAGCAAATCTCGCTTGTCCTGCAGGAATTTTTTTTTTTTTTTAAATAGTGCAGGAGCTTTCCCCGTCCCCATTCATCCTGGAGGCACTCCAAGGACACTGGTGTACAGACACACACCAACTCCCCTTGGCTCCATCAGCCAGCTTTTCCCAGGGCTATACTGGGACACACAACTTCCCTGCAACCCCAGATCCTGCAGTCTGGAAGCCAAACTCTGCCAACCATCCCCATCCTCCCACAGGATTCCCGTGGCTGCCATGGCAGCTCTCCTTGTGGGGATGGCAGCAAACGCAGGGCACGAGCCTGAAATACAGAGTTTGTTTTTTCACTTTGAACTGGAGCTGCGCTGCCCTACCTCGAGGGTCATAAAATTATGGTTGCTTAGTACCAGAAAAAGCTGTAAAAGCAGAAAATATCACAGTCTAGACTCGTATTTTTTATGGGTTTACAAAAATCAACCTCTTTAAAGCTGCTGAGGATCCTCCAACCTGTTGCCACTATCTATCCCTTGCTTTTTTAAAGCACAGAATTTAAGGAAGAAAAAAATTATGCTCAAGAAAAAAGAAATACCTTTTTTGTCTCTGCCTTTTAAGCCTCTCAAATGAAGAGGTGAAGCCCTGTGGTCTGACAAGTGAAACTATGTCTTAGGGGTCAGCAAACCCTCCTTGGACCACGTGCTCTGCAAGTCTGGGGGTCTCCATCCCACCAGCCAGAACCATTCCCAAAATTCTCCTAAATTCCCCAAATTCTGCTCTGGCCTCTCACCTGCCACAGCAGCCGAGGGGACACACAACCCACGGCGCAGGTGAGCAGCGCTTTGTGCAGCTCTGCCCACGGAGCCAAAACTCCAGCTGAGGGCAGCAGGAGGAATCGCTCCGGCTGCGGAGGGATGAGATGAATGAGAGAGCCCAGCCCCGGGCGAGGATGCGATGGCTCTGCCGGGACCCGAAGCTGCTCTTTGCCACACAGCCCGGCCTGGTTGTGCAGGTGAAGCCGGGATCCCGTGCCCTCAGAGCCGAACCGTGCCGGGAGGGGCAGCGCCAGCAGCAGGGGATGGATTCGCCCTCTCTGACACCTCCACCGCGGGATGGAGCGGGACATGGGCATGGTGACACCGCCCAGGGGGCTGTGGCACTGTCCGGAGGGACACGGGCATGGTGACACCGCCCAGGGGGCTGTGGCACTGTCGCAGAGGGGAAAGGGGACACGGGGACAGCGTCACCATGCAGGGAACCGGTACCACGGTGGGCTGCGGGGACACAGGTGTCCCGGGACGGCTGTAGGGACATGGATGTCCTGGGATGGCTGTAGGGACACGGGTGTCCCAGGGTGCTATAGGGACACGGCTGTACCGGGGGCTGTAAGGACACGGGTGTCCCGGGATGGCTGTAAGGACACGGGTGTCCCGGGAAGAGGCGAATATCCCGGGACGGCTGTAGGGACACGGGTGTCCCGGGATGGCTGTAAAGACACGGGTGTCCTGAAGGGCTGCAAGGACACGAGTGTCCCGGGGGGCTGTAAGGGCACGGGTGTCCCGGGGGGACGCGGATGTCCCGGGGATGCTCCCGCGGCCGCATAGCCCGAGTCCCGAACCCCGAGCCCTCCCGCCGGTCCATCCCCCCCGGCCGCTCCCCGCGCTCGGTACCGAGCCCCGCTCCGCCGGCACCCCCGTCCCCCGCCCGTCCCCGCCGTGGTTGCGGCTATACCGAGTCCTCCTGGCCGTACCGAGCCTCCCCCGGGCCATACCGAGCCCCCCCCCCCCCCCCCCCCCCCGTGCTGTGCCGTGCCGATCTCCCCCCGGGCCGTGCCGAGCGCCCCCTCGGTCCGTACCGAGCCCCCCTAACCGGGACTCACCGGTGCCGGTGGCGGACTCGCTCCGTCCCGCGCCCCCCGCGCGTTTCCTCCCCCGGCCCGAGCCGGTCCCTCCGCCCCGGCCCAATGAGCTCCGGGCGGGGAGGAAAGCGGAGCCTCCCGGCCGGGGGAAGCGCCGGGCCCGGGGATCTCCGCCTGCCCCCGGCTGCCCGGGAGCCGCGGGAGCCGCGCGGGGACAGACACGGCAGGAGCCCCCAGCGCCCCGCCCGGGTGAGGGACACGCTGTGTGCTGTGCCGAGTGTCGCTGATGGGACGGGGTTGCGGGGACACGGGTGGGTGTGGAGCCTTACCTGTGACCCCAGGGCCCCACACGCCGTCCCTGAGCCCCCCAATGGCCCGGCCCGGCTGGGTGGGCTGGGGATCAACAGCGAGAGATCGCGGCTCGGCCCCGCAGACTCCCCGGGGGATGGCCCATCACCAGTGACCTGGGCAAACTGAATTTTCTGTACTAAAAATGACTGTCCTGCTCCGCACTCCCCACCGCAGAGGATTTTCGGAGACATCGCCTCTCCCTGGGTTACAGACCTGCTCCAGACCCTGCCCCTAATCCCCCTGAGCTCATCCCAAAGTCCTGCAGGAGCCGGTGAGGAACCTCCAGCTTTCCAACAAATCACAAAGGATGCTTAGGGGATTCCTCAGAAGCCCCCCAGCTGCAGAGGGACTCTCCAGGGTGACACCCAACACCTGCCCCAGCAGAGCCCCAGCCCAGCTGCCTACAGGCTTCTCCTCCTAAATACCCAGTATTTTATCAAAGCTGCTCGGTTCATGCCAAAATGCCACTTGTTTTGTCTACATTTTTGTCTGGAAAAATTAAAGCACAGAGGGTTATTGTTTCTCAAGTGACTTAGGCGCCTGCCCATGCACAGAACCATTCTTAAAGATAGCAGGGATCTGATGTGCAAATGAATGGCAGGATACAGCCCCCTGGGAATATTTGTTCCCACTAAAGCCCTGTAAAATTTTTTGAAAGCATGTAAGCATTTAAAGGAAATATTTACCAGTTCAACAAGAATGGCTCCAAGAGAACAAGTGAGATCACTGGCCCATCCCCTCTGTTTCCTCAGGGATACGCTGGAGGTGGAACTGGAGCTCTGGGGAAGCTGGTGGGTGCTTGGGGCTCTCAGTGTGAAAGGAGCTTTGGTGGGAAGGGAGCAGAGGGGAATCCTCTCTGGAAGTGCTGCTAGAGATGGAGATCCCTCCCAGCAGCAGGGAAAGGTTTGCTGGTGCTGGTGGAAGTGCAGCTCTGTGCTGTAAATCATCTCACACGGGTTTGTTCACCCTCTGGAGCCATCCTACCTCTGGGGAATGATTTCAGCTCCCTTAATTTCATCAGCACAGGCAACTTCTCCCAAGAGCCTTGAAAGCACAGTAATTATCTTGTTATGAGAGAGCGTTACTGGTTTTTTTTTTTTCTGGTATACGGGGGAGATGAACAGAGCCTGAATTATTGTCTAATAATTGCAAAATGCACGTGGAAGGCAGAGCTTCTCTGTGTGGCCATGCTGAAAACACAGGGTCTCATTTTGCAGCTGAGACAACTCACCTCACCCACGGAGCTCCATCAGGTGTGCTGGGCAGGGATCCTTTGCTTGTGGAGCATCCTGGTTTCTCTCTGTGAGGACAGAAAAAGCCCAGTGTTACACTCCCCTGGTCAGGCAGGCAGAGAGCAGAGACCCAGCCCTCACCCACCACGGACCTGGTGCTCCCTGGACACTCCCAAAATCCCTGCAGGGTGGTGGCCAC